CTCATTAAACTACAGAGGCATCTCACAAAATATAGGCAAATATGTTTCCCAAATGTAACTGTCTGTCAGAAAGTTATGTATTCATATTTCTTTTATAGCACTGACACAGAGAAATAGCAGGAGAAGACAAAAATGTCAGCCACTGCAAGATGCCATGGGGAGCACTTGGAGATGGAATGAGCTGGCTTAGGCTCAGTGTGCAGCCACTCGGTGCCAGTTGGCAGCCAGGGCACTCCAGAGGCTGGAGCCCCTTGTGTCTCTATGATCTGGGAGCAACTGCTGCTAAAGAGATGCTTCCTTGGTATGCTGATTCATTTAAAACTTCTTCTTGCTTTTGATTCTTAAATGATCAGCTATTAATTTTTAATTTGTGTGAATTTTGTTAGAGCTTGACTCCTTGATTTACTGCAATCTGGCATCCCCTGAGGGGTTTTGTGGGTCTTTTTTCTCCCATTTCTTCCACAGTTTAGAGCGTGCCTCAGCATAGTGATGCACTGTACTCTGAAACCGTACAATTTAATTTAAAGTGGAACTGACATTGTAGCTTGAGGATTAAAAATATTCAAGTGTTTCATATTGTTTCTTAAACAAAACCTTAGAAAGCCTGGAATGATCAAACTGCAACACAGTCTGCAGAAGAAAGAGTTATTTTGGATCTAGACTGTGATCTGTCTGGTATCTAGCCTAGGCCTCCAGATCACCTCTTCCCCGACAAACTCATAAAAACCTATCTGACCCTGAAAGACAGACTCTAAAACATTTGATGAGTTTTTCCTCACATACTTCATCCCAGCTCTGTGTCTAGGATACTTGTGACTTTTAAAACTTTTCTGAAGAAATGACTCAAACCAAAAACCTTTCTCTTTGAATCTGACATTGTCTGTACCAGACTTTGTACACTGGAAAGCTTTTAAACCTCTGACTTAATGCTCCATAAGAGGAAATGAATCCATAAACCCATATTAGAATGAAGGAGACGGGCACATTCAATCAATACAAACGAGTGCTCCAAACTTCAGTAATTTAACCTTCCTTATCTTTAACTCATCTATAAAATACATTTTGTTTCTTTGAAAGAGTGCTTTCTACACACAGATTAGGAACATTGGTGCAATCAACAGCACCACCAACAAATAAATGCCCTTTTTTCTGGATTTCACTGCAGAAATCAATTTTTATTGCTAACAGAAATTTTATAGTTTTCAAAGAATTTTCACACAACAAAAATACAAAAAGTACACAATCTCTTAATGTTCCCTGAGCAGAGTTGATTTGATCTTGGTGCAAATACAGCAAGCTATTATTTAAGCCTGTGAAAACACAGATATACTTGTATATGTAGTTGAAAAACCAGTTCTTAAAAAAATAACCAATTGTGTTTATTATTACTTCCAAAATATAATGCACAGAAATTTTTAACAGACTTGAAGTACTTCCAAAATATAATGCACAGAAATTTTTAACAGACTTGAAGAATAATGTAGTGGAATTTGAAATTTAAGCTTTTGTCAAGAAGATTGGCTTTTATTATTCTTTCTTCACATTATTTCTAATAATGAAAAGGAGATATTATTTTTTTTTAAAGTTGCAGCTCTGTTTTTAGTTCCTAATATTTAGGGTGGTTTTCTCACATGTTTCCTTTACTTCCATGACATTTCAGTACTTGTTTGTGAAGAACATGAAAATAAATAAAAGGAATCTATAGACTGGGTCACCTTCTCAGGATTCTATACAAGTAAGATCCTCCCAGGCGTGAGCACCTTGGAATCCTTGGAAGGAGTTTATGTACAGAAAAAAATACACTCACTAAAGCAGACCAGACTTCTGTGGTCCATTTCTCTGTGGTTTAGCTCGAACATAAGATTATTTAGTGAAATGATGTTTCTGGATCTTCTGTTTGCAAAATCCACTTTAATTAGTGGCAGTTTTATGAAGGGAATGCCAGACAGGTATTTGCCATAGGGTGCTTTGGAAAAAACACAAACTGAACTATAGACGGATATATATAATTAGGGTTCAACAATAAAAATGCAGTCATGCAGTACCTTCTATCAAAATGTAAGTACTTTATAAATTCTAATTCAGCTGCGAGATACAGCTACCTTATTTTATAAAAATTATAATTACTTGTGTTTAACAGCTGCACTAACAGCCAAGGTGACCTTGTCAAGAACGTACAATAAGCAATATAAAAATAACCTATCTGTCCCTTTTCTGTCAGTGTTTCCACTTGCACCAGTAAAGCATTTGCAAAGGTGATCAGCCTTTTTTCCTTCTGTTAGCTGCAGTTTGTCATTTTATGGAAGAGAACATCCATGCAAAGCAGTTTAAGTTCCAAGTCTACATCGTGGCACTGACATTACCCTTTTTGCCAGTAAATGTATCAGGTTACTTTTTCTTTAGGAAGTTAAAGAAATCGTATTTTAATGACTTAACAGCAAACGTATTTTTCATCAAGTGCCTTGTGTTTAGACATTACTAGCTTAGGTATCTAAGTTTTTATCACTTTTATCTAAGCCAGTGTTTCCATCCCTTTGCTTTCTTTCCTTGTGGCGTTAAACATTTATTTGAGATTTACATCAGAGTGACCCTGGCTATCATAAAGGATGCACAGGCGAAACCCAGGTTGAAAAAACTCCTCCTCAGAGAAGGACAGACAGAAGGAGAGAATAAAACATCACTCTCCACACCATCCCCTCAAAAATCAGCGCTGCCAACTCAGCCGCTGCCCTGGGCAGAGAACAGACGGCCCAGCTCTCGGCACCCCCGGCTCCTCCTGAGGCCTCGGGCCAGCTCGGCTCTGAGGGCAGGAGGGGCGCGGTGCCGGCAGTGGAGCTTCCCGCCGGGAAATCCCAGCCGGCTCCCACAGCGCGGAACGGCTCCCGCGCCCCCGGGAACCCCGCCCTGCCCTTACGTCATCCGCGCTCCACCCTATCAGGAGCCGCGGCTCCGGCGGCGCCAAAGCTGCAAAGGGCGGGCGCGAGCCGGGGGTTCCCTGAGCCCCGCCCCCGGTACTCCCCGGCCACGTGACCGGGGACGCGGCGCCGCGCCGGGGGCGATGCCCGGCGGGAAGGTACCGGCGGC